CGCTAAAATGTTACTAATACGCCATGTGCGCCAATTTATTTATTACTCAAATGGCGACCTTAATGTACTGTATGTCACTTTGGAGTTTTAGTTATTTACTTACTTAAATTCAGTAATGGAGAGATAATTTTTAGGTGTTTTTGACAACTTACATATGAATGTATGCGCAATATTTACAAGCAGTTTCGTTGCCTACAGCAATGCCGACCATTAAATATCTTTCCGAAACTGGGGTTATTTTCCCCTAATGTCAAACAACTTCGACAGCATGTTCAGTTAGAATTAAAGAGATAAACGTATATAGTTAAAAGTTGGCGGTACCACACCCATTTTTCAAAATTCCCTAGTGATATTTATTTTCATGGGATTGTTGTGACCATCAGCTTTGAGTAAATTAGAGTTCTTGAATTCCTAAATATCGAAGTTTCAGAATTTATGAAATTCACCGTTATATGAAAAGTGGATATAATTTTAGTTCGTTTTCAAAAATTTCAAACGTCTTTCAAACGTGCATGAAGCCTTTGCCATAGCCGAAGACAGCATTGTTCTTAATTATTATACCCGAGCGCACTTGTGCACAACGGTATATTAACTTTGTTCACATAACGGTTGTTTTTAACAGCCCAAACGAGATAGATATAGACAAATGTATACATAAATGCTCAGAATAAATAGAGAAGTCGACTAAGCCATGTCTGTCTGTCCGTCCGTGTACACGATAACTCGAGCAAAAATTGAGATGTCTTCCACTTCCCATATAACGGTAATTTTCAGAAATACGAAAACTGCGATATTTTAGTAACTATTGAAGATTATTCACTCAAATCTGATATTTAATATAAATTTTAGACGAAAAATAAGAATATTATAAATATTTTGAAAAAGAGCTTAGCCACGCCCACTTATGGTTACATGTGTATATCTTGGCAGCCGCTGCACCAATTTCTCCAAACTTGGCACAGTTGTTGGCCTTGCTACAGCATACCAAATGGCCAAAAATTTTTAAAATCGGACAATAACCACGCCCACGTCCCATGTAACAATTATTTAGAGAAATACAAAATCTTCGATAAATCAGTAAATATTAAAGCTAATTTATTCAAAAAAAAGTAAATACATTTTCTTTATTTTTAATTTTTGTTACGATTGGAGACTGCTGTGGTTTAGTGGTTAGCAGTGTGCGCTACCATTCCGCATGGCCTGGGTTCGAGTCCAGTTTCCGACCAACATCAACTAAACCGACAACCATCAGGCAATTTGTGCTTTGTTTTGGATTATTTAATGCTCATGTTCATACGTGTTGCAGGGCATACGCACCAGTGTTTGATTTTTTTTCTAATAAGCCATTGCATTCTATATGCAACAATAAAACAACAAATATTAAACTGCCGGCAATTTAGTATACTATACGAATATATTCGTATATTGTACGAATTTTAAAAACATGTTTCTGCATAAGTAAATACTATGTACGAAAGTATTTAATCAATAAAACGAATACAGAATTGTAGATTTCGTATATTTTAAAATCATAAGTAGATATTAAGAATGCCTTCGTACAATATACAAAATTATTGATACAGAGATTTTTTCGTTTTGAAAAATGTATTCGTATTATAAAAGAAAGTTTCGTACGTTGTACAAAAACTAAGCCTACGAAAATTTTTCGTAGCATTTTTGCGAAATTTTATTTTCAGTGTGTTACACCTAACATATCTATGAAACGATATCCTGTTAGATATTTAATGTCGGCCTTAGGAAATTAACATAAGTATTCTATGGGAGTATAATATGTAATTTGTAAGATCGAAAATTCTACTATAACTCTACGCTCTATTTGGCAAGCTAAATAGAGTTTTTGCTCTACGTAGACGTATGGTAAAAGCTGAAATTAGTCGAGAACGCAGAACGTATACTTAAACGCAGTCTGTATACGCAGAATTTTGTCGATTACTGGAGCCCTCAGTGTTGCTTACTACACTGTTGCCACTCATCAATGCCTTTTCATAAACTTACCCTTTCAACTACAATTTTTCATGCTATAATAGATTTTAGCTAAATATAAACTACTTAGTTTTCGACAAAAACCTTATTCAATAGTAAATTTCAAATATTTTAAACATATTTTGAATAGGAACTTATACCTTTTTACCATCAGTAAAACTGACGAAGTGGCAACCATCTAAAGAAGGAGAAATCAGCTGACACGGAAAAATCTAAATTCCGCAGATTTCTGCGCAGAAAAATTCTGCGGGGTTGAGTTTTCATTTACATGGCGCTTTGGTAAGACAGATCGTGTCAGCTGACTCGGGTTTACGTACCGGTTTACGTTCTTGACTAATTTCAGTTAAAGTCTTGGCAATGAATTTCATCATAGTATGTTGAATTTTGAAACGGCTATCGCATTACATTGTATATTTGGTACAAGCACACCATTTGAGTTAGATTTAGAGCGTAGCAAAGTAACTTATCGGAAATTTTTCTCTTATTTTCATGGGCATTTCGACGGGCTTTCCAATAGAATCCCTCCTTTGCAAAGGGGCATAAGCATTGGTTAAAACATAAGGAGTATTTAGAAGTAAACATGATACAGAAGAGAGAGATCAACCCCCCCCCCCCTCCCCCCCCCCTATAAAAACCCAAAACACCTAAAAATACGTTTTCAATATTTATGTACATTGATTTAATTTTAGGTAAAAATTTTTTCGCCAAATAAGTAAAATTTGAAAATTTTATTTTCATCCCTTGCTCAAAAAAGTATTTTATGTCATCAGCGAATAGGTCAATGCTGTCAAATCGACGAAGGTTTAGCGGTCCGCGTATGGCGCCCCGTTTTTTTTTCTAAATCGTGGCTCTGATATAAATACATACAACAAGCGTTGACAACAATTCGAGATAGAAAACTAGCTTTAGGCGAGAAGTAACAATTGCCCACCGTGTACACAGATTGTAGAGTACGTGATAGAGAAAAGTTGAGATTTCTCCATTTTAACTCTAGCTAGAGTAAATACCTTCTAGAGTTGCTCTACCGTGTAAACTTAATTGAGAGAGTTGACTTTTATTTCAGTAAAACTCTAGCAAGATTATCAGTACAAGTGTATATTTACCATTCGGCTCCCCAAA